AAGTCAGGGTGGATGATTCACAGGGCAGGGGCTGATTTGAAGCCCGTGGCTGCTGTTTTGGGAACACCCCCTCAGCACCCACGATGGGGGGCAGCGCCAGGAAAACTCCCCCCCCTCCACCCCCCTGACTCATCCCAGCATTTGCCAACAACAATGGGAGGACCCAGCTGACCTTCCCACTCCTCTGCAGGGGACATGCCATGCTGCCCATATCCCTGCCCACACACCAGGGCAAGATGGGCAGGGCCTACAAAAGCAGTTTTCATTGTTGTTATTTTAATTATTTTTTGGTTGTTTTTTTTTACAAAAAGATGCCCTTTTGGTCTGCTTTACAAAAGAGATGTACACAAACCTGTACTAGGAAAAAAAAAAAAAATTAGTTTTCCCAGAAGAAATGGGAAATAACCATGTATAAATATTCTCTCTGAGTTCTTAAAGCTTCAATTCCCGGTTCACCTGCTCGGCGCTTCCTTCAGCCTGGGGTTCCCGAGGGTCCCAGCACCTCGGCCAGGCCTTATTTCTCACATCAGCTTCCAGGGAGTTGAGAGTCATGGGTTGTGCTCTGCTAAAGGACCCTTGTTACCAGCACGTGGACGTCCCTTAGCCGAGTCACTGGCAGCTTTCTTTTTTAGCAGTAGCTAAAAAAAGCCCACCCAACCCCCAAATTAAAAACCAAACCTTCCTCCCCCCCCCTTCACTACCCATGTTCTATGTCGAGTCACTGAAATCAAGGCACTGAGTGGTAAAATTAGTGTCTCCTTCCGAAGCGCCGCAGCCTCTCAGAAATTGCACGTTAGGGGTTTGAGGTTTTTCTGCCTTCCTTCAGTTAACTCCTCGCCGTTCCTTGCCCCAGAGGGACCCGGCTGGGTGCCCCTGGTCTGTGCAGGGCTCCCCTTGCCAGCAGCTCTGTCCCAACCTGGCTCAGAAATAGGAGGGTTTGAGCCCTGGGGTGTTGTTGTTGCTGGGGTAGTGTGACTGCATGAGCGGGACCTCGCACTCGGAGCCACCAGAAAGCATCGCCGCCTCTGGCACCTTGTGGCCGTGGCTGCTCAGATCCCCATTTTCCAGGCAGGCTTTCACCCCTTCCAGCTCCAACGGGCCTGCATCCCCCCCAGTGCTGGCGTGCGCCTTGGGCTGGCGGTGCCGGCAGTAGTACGTGCTGACGGTGACCACCACCACCAGCAGCAGCATGGCAGCCAGCGCGGGGACAATCATCAGGGTGAGGTTGCTGTCCTTGCTCTGGGTGACAGGGGAGTGCTGCTGGTGACTCGCTGGCAAGGTCTGTGCCTCAGCACAGTGCTCCTCCTTGGAGACCTTCTCCCCCAGGGGCCCGATGCAGACGCGGTAGGTGCAGTTGGGCTTCAGCGCCCGCACTGTGTATTCGGAGAGCGAAGCCGGTAAACGCAGCATCACCGCCCGCTTGTCCGGCCCGGAGAGGTTTCGGTAGCTCAGGCGGATCCCCTTCAGCTGTGCTTTGGACTGGATGTAGTTCTGCAGATCCACTTTGAGGGAGGTGCTGCCAACCTGAGCGATGCTGACCCGCCTGCTGGGCGGTGGGGCCTGCGTGGCCGGGCTCGGCGTTGTCCCTCTCACCTCCACCTCACAGTACATTCCAGTGAAACCCGCCAGGCACAAGCACTCCAGGTGGTTTTGGGGACCCAGGTGGCAGGTGCCACCGTTCAGACATGTGCGAGGGGGACAGATGGGTGCTGGGGGGCTGGTGGG